CTCTAAATAGTAGTTGAAGACATAATCCCTCATCTCTAGGAGTTCACAGTGGTTTACAGTGATCCTTGACTTCCCTTTTTACCCGTGACACATTCATGACCATGATATTTACCTAGGGAAACCCGTTTTCCTTCCACTCATTCCTGCATTAGCCCACTTCCACACAGAAATTCCTGTAGTCTCAGAAGAATTGGGGAGGAAGCTTGTGTCCTGGTTTGCTCTTCCCCATGAAAGAATGGCTTTCAGAGTCACTGGTGTTCGTTCAGCTTCAACGTCTTCCATAAGGTCAGCCCACTGGGAGAGCCTTTGCCCTGAGTCAGGGTGATAGGAGGGGTGAGGACTAGAAAGAGGGAGGAAAGGAAATGGAGAAGCTTGCAGGTTTCTAGCTGTAACTAAGTCATCTCTAACAAAAGAGGCAGGAGCAGGAAACCTGTTTTAGACTCATTTCTAAGCCATGTGCTCTAATCCATATTTACCAGCACAGAAAAACAGTTCATCCCTACCTAACTCTCAGGTCTATGGCTCATTAGAGGGGGAAAAAGTACAATTATTACCAAATGTTTTACACTTTCCTATGGCCATGTCCAGGATGACACACAATTCTCCATGTCCTGCCTACAATTCCACACTTTTTTTCCCAATGCAAGAATGGAATTATTCAATCCATAATTCACTTTAATGGGTCTTCATTCAACAAACATGCATTAAGCATCTATGATATGGCAAGAAACAGGCTAGACGCTGAGGGTTAAGGCAGGAATAATGTCAAGGAGGTGTTCCTGCTCTCTTGGAGCTTACATTCTGGAGAAGAGAGACAGGTTACAAACAAGTAAACCAAGATATGGCTGAGATCATAAAAAGTTCTTTAGAAAAAAATAGACCACAGGCTGGAGAGAGGATAACCAGATGACACTTATGTTTGACAAGGTGGTCAGGGAAGTCTTCGCTGAGAAGAAGGCATTTAACCTGACACCTGTATGATAAGAAGTGGGGCAGGTGGAGGTTGGACCGAGAACATTCTAAGCAGAGAGAACTGCATGAGGCCTGAGTTTCAGCGGAAGCTTGGCATGTCTGGAGAAAAAAAGTTTGCCTATTTTTACTTAATTGTGCTCAAAGAAAAATACATGTGATAATCTTGGTTTGATGTACAAGTGGTATGAAGGCACAGATGACTTGTAAAAGAATTTTTCTTTATGTGTATGTATGTATATAATTTTACCTATCACACTTTGGGAAAACTAACCACTTTTAGGCCCATTCTAGAGAACTTAGGGATACTTTTAGAGACTCGCATATCTACCAGCCTCAGTAACTGTCTTTCTAGAATAGCACTGGATAACTCCAGCCTCAGTCATCGTGCTATCCCAGACTCTACACATATTCTCTTTATGTTGATCCACTTTATCTTCAGTTTGCTATACCTTAGACTTTTAAAGAATCCATTCACATAGCAACGTTCATGCAACGCCATCCAAAAAGATTTCTGATTTCTATAAAGTTTTCACCCTTCTTCCTGTCATTGATGAGATTCTTCACCCCTAAGGACCTCTGCAATGTTATAAATATTCACCATTTATTATATATATATATTTTCCCCTGGCTGTTTCCAAGGTCTCACTCTGAGAGCAAGCTGCACACAGCACTTCCTCTTCTCCCTCCCTGTGTCCCACTGCCACTGAGGGAAGCCACACTCGGTCCAGCTGGCAGAATTTTCTACCCTCCCTTCCCTCTAAATCTCCTTGGACCTCAAATGCTAATTGAAGAGCTCAGAAAGAGGACATTAAGAAGGGGGCTTTCTGGGGGGCAACGATGAATCACCGGCAGAATCACTGTTCAGACAGGCCATCTGATGAGTCACCCCTGTGGTGGGGGGAGTGGACAGTCAGTGAGACAGATAATGTGTCAGTCTCTCTCCTCAGCCTGACCCTGGACATCAAAATAGGCTGCAGTTCTCTCCTTCTGGATTCATTGCTGGCATTTGACCTAACACTATGAGAAATTGAAACCAAGAAGGAGGGTAGTAAAGTGAAGCTTTCTAGGCTGTTGAGCTGAAGTTTAAATATTGTAACGGAGATACTTTTTTTTTTTTTTTTTGACACGGAGTTTCACTCTTGTTACCCAGGCTGGAGTGCAATGACGCGATCTCGGCTCACTGCAACCTCCGCCTCCTGGGTTCAGGCAATTGTCCTGCCTCAGCCTCCTGAGTAGCTGGGATTACAGGCACGCACCACCATGCCCAGCTAATTTTTTGTATTTTTAGTTGAGATGGGGTTTCACCATGTTGACCAGGATGGTCTCGATCTGTTGACCTCGTGATCCACCTGTCTCGGCCTCCCAAAGTGCTGGGATTACAGGCTTGAGCCACCGCGCCGACTAACGGAGATACTTAAACAGGCTTGTCATCCCAGCCAGCGACTACCCAAGCAATGTTTTGCTGACTCAGGCCATCTTCTCCACCAATATAAATGCTCTGTGTTTCATCTGAATGTTCTCATCGTCGAGGTTTCGTTTCATTTGATAAAGAACAATGCAGAGCAGATGAGAACCACTTTCTACAAAGGCAAAAAAATAACAACAGCTTCTGTGAGTTAAACATCTACTGTGCCGGGGACTCACTGACATCACCTCATTTAGTTCTCACACCTTCTCAAGTAGGTATGGCTCACTCTGTGATACAGACCATGAAACTGAGGCTCAGGAAGTTTCAGCCATTTCCCCCAAGTGCTCACGGGTAGGAAAGGGGAAAGCTGATTATAGAATAAGGTGCTTATAGAACTTATCATCCCAAACAGGGCACTTTTGAAAGTCAAAGGGAGAACTAGTAGTAATTTCACCCAGCCACAGATGCAAAGATGAAAGGTCTCAGCAAGCCAGAATATAAAAATGCCTGAGTTTTGAATCAGTGTTTTTGGCTCTACAGCCTAGCCCACTCACCCAGTTGGTTGTCAGGAAGGTAAAAGGAGAAATCTGTAATCAGCTCCCCCTATTCTCTTACTATGCTTTTTCTGGCTGTTTCCTTTGCTTCTCTTTCCATTCTGAGACAGTGGGATGAAGCTGAAACCTCTGTGCTTTTGAGCACCCCTGTGTGTGATTCTGGCGTCCGGCCAGCCATGGGTACTCCTGATTTCCTTTGCTTCTCTTTCCATTCTGAGACAGTAGGATGAAGCTGAAACCTCTGTGCTTTTGAGCACCCCTGTGTGTGATTCTGGCGTCCGGCCAGCCCTGGGTACTCCTGATTTCCTTTGCTTCTCTTTCCATTCTGAGACAGTAGGATGAAGCTGAAACCTCTGTGCTTTTGAGCACCGCTGTGTGTGATTCTGGCGTCCGGCCAGCCCTGGGTACTCCTGATTTCCTTTGCTTCTCTTTCCATTCTGAGACAGTAGGATGAAGCTGAAACCTCTGTGCTTTTGAGCACCCCTGTGTGTGATTCTGGCGTCTGGCCAGCCCTGGGTACTCCTGATCATATGTTCTTTGAGGACAGGCAGTTGTTCTTGTTCATCATTGTATCTTAGAAAGTAACATACAGGAATGCAGTAAGCACTTAATATATGTTCATTCAATGAATGGATAAGTTATTGAATGAATGCAATGATGTGCAGAGGCAAGCAGGGATGAGTATCACTGTATCTGGGGAATACCAGTGAGTTTGAGACATCCAGCATATAAAAAGAAATAAGAAACAGGAAACAGTGGATGCATCTGCCAGGCTGAGCTTCAATTTTATGGTTAAGGCAGAGCCACCAAAGTCTCTGAGCAGGAAAGTGACAGAGTCTGATTTGTATTTTGGAAAGAACATTTCTGTAGTTGTGTTCCAGGTTAAGCCTGTGAGAAACAAGACACTGAAGGTATTTAAAACATGTTTTCAAAAGGGCTACTGAGTGCCCAGCATAATATAACCTTTTACATATTTGATCAATCTCCAAGCTGGGGCTAGAACCACCTCTGCTTGGAGTCAGAATCTGGACATACTTTCTGGAGAGCAATTGGTCACCTTGTTGGGACACCTAAGAGCCACTCTTTTGGGGTAACATTTTCTCTCTGTTTTCTGGCTTCTTCCCCAATATTAGCAGTTCTACCATGGGGTGGCTTGGTAAATGGAAGGCACCCACCCAGGTTCAGGAAAGTGAGGAGCAGTTTCTGTGGTGATTACAGACAGACCCATTCACTGGATTTTTTCCTAACATCTCTCCATGACCTTTATGCCTCTGAGGGCCTGGACACAGTGTAGCAGCTCTTCAGCTGGGACAGGGCATATGAAGGGGTATCACACATGAGTGTTCCCCCAAGTGGGGCTGTGGCTACCATTGCCCCCACAGAGCACCCAGGGGACCTTGCTGTGTACAACCCTGTGTCCTGGGGTTTCCCGCAAAGCTTTGCCTTGTCTGGTGAGAAAGCTGCCAGACAGTGTGAGATGAAAGACACCGTTCACATTTATGGTGACTGGAATGTGCGCCGAGACCAATTTATAAGCATTTCACAGTCCAATGATGAATGATGGGTCCCTTGTGCTGACTCCTTAACTAGCTCCCTTCAAGGGACAGGCGACTTCTGAGATCGTCTTAAAGCAGTGTCGGGTGGGGATGTTCAGGCCCTGGCCATGTCCTATCCTCCCTGCCAGCACTATCCACCTCCCTGAAATCTCCTATCACCTGGCCCTCACCTCATTCCTCTTGCTTAAATCTGTTTCCTTCCTGGTCTCTACCTTGCTGCATTCATTCCACAGGCATCTCTGTTTTATAAGCCAGGCCTTTCCCTAAGCATTTCCCATGGACGTTATAACCCAACCTTCAAGCTTTGATAGCACTTATCAGCAGAATTCTGCTTATATCCTGGGCCAGGATGAGTACAGCACACCCTTGACTACAGAGAGGCTGAGAACTCTAATACTTGGCTTCCCAGCTTATACAAGAGGTAGAAATGGAGAAGAATGTTGGGAGAGACTTTTAGTCGGGAATCAACGGTGTCGACTCCACACCCACTGCTGTCATTCCATTTTACAGGTTAAAAAACCAAGTCACACGGAAGATAAATAACATGCTCAACATCGCCCAGCCAAGTGGCAGAGGCGTGACTAAAGTGACAGGGGACAACTCCTGAGTCTGTGCTAGGAACAGCCAGTGAAGATCCTTACAGGAAGAGGAAGAATTAGATGAATTCATGATAAATTAAGAAGTAGAACGGTGGCCAATTGTCTTTGGGAGAAAGTGGGATCAAGGACGACTACAGGATTCTGCCTGAGATGGGACACACTAGAGTATTACTTGGGAATGTAAATAAAACTATCAAATTACTGAATGAGTTCCATGTGCTACTCTGTTCATACTTGAGTTCTAATTCTGTTAAGGTTGTATCATTGTCTTCTTTTTAAAGAGTGTGGAGACGGAGGCTCACAGAGATGGTACTGTTTCCTCCAAGTCGCAGTGATGGTAAATACAGATGACAGCTGGATATCAACTGGCTCTGGGAAGCTTCCAAATACAGTGACTCAACGCTGCTCCACACAGCCTTCTTACAAGGAAAAACGAGAACGGAGGCCGCGGGCTGGCTTCTGTGAATTGTGTGTTGTTGGAATTCCTGTCCTTCCTTGACCCAGATTTGTAAACAGAGGCTTTGGAAGCCAAAGTACACACGGGCAGATGCAAAGGAGCCGTCTGATGAGGAGAAAGTCGAATGTGCTTGGGGTGGGTGCACGCCTGCCTGGAGCACGTGTCCCCAAGGCCTCCTGCTGTCTCTGCAGCTGGCTGTCTTGGGCCCGGTGGTCTGCAGATGGCCGCGAAGTGTCTCTGGGCTGTCCAGCTGCAGCCTGAGCGGGCTGGCGGTTTTGGAGGCGCTGATGCTGAAGGCGCTGGGCAGCCGCTGACAGAGCTTCCTTTTGCTACTTTTAGGCTTGTTGCTGAGCCTTTTTAATGGGAAGGGGGGAACATAAGCAAAGATATTTGCTGTAATTTGGAACTGAAATGCCCCACTATAAAACCAGCTATCATTTACTCACTCGTTCAAGAAATACAGGTTGAGCCCCTGCAGGACAGCAGGCCCCATCAGGATGGAGCAGGGACGAACACAGAGTATCTGTCCTCAGGGAACTTGTAGTTTATTGAATGGAGACAGGCAACCTATAAAGATTTGCATAAATGTCTAATATGTGCTATAGAAAGAGAAGAAGCAAAGTAAAGGAGTGACGAATGAAAAGACCAGGGGACACTTCTCTGACAAGGTCACATTTGAGCAGAGACCCAACTAAGGCAAAGCAGTGGGCCCAGCAGATCTCCGAGACTGGGATGGTCTCTGGCAAAGGGAACAGTGAATTCAAAAGCCCTGAGCAAGGCAGGCCTCTGGGGGTGTATGCCTTCTTCAGATGGGTAAAGAGCACCGTGCTTGGGGAGGGTCTGGAAGCCGCGGGCTGGGGACAAGTGAGAGAACTGAGGTGTTTAGGATAGAAAAGGGAAGACTTGCGAATAGCAGGCAGCTTCCCTCACATAAAGGGTTCAAAGTCTTATCCAAAGAAGAATAAGACTTTCTATTACATAATGCCAGAAGTTGGGACCAAAGACCAGACCAGCTGATGGAAGTTGCTGGAGGCTGTTTTCAAAGGTTTATTGAATAATGCCCAAAGCATCAGCTCTAAAGATAAGGGACGTCACATTAATATGTTAAGGTCGACATAATAAAATATCATAGACTGGAGAGTTTACACAACAGAAATGTATTTTCACACAGTTCTGGAAGCTGAAGTGTGAGATGAAGGTCTTGGAAGGGTTGGCTTCTTCTGAGGCCTCTTTCCTTGGTTCGCAGGTGACCATCTTCTCCGCACGCCTTCACGTGTCACGCGGTCCTTCGCCTCTGCATATTCGTATCCTAATCTCCTCTTTTTATAAGGACACCAGTCATATTGGATAGAGCCCGCTCACCTGACCTCGTTTTTACGTAGTTACTGCTTCAAAGGCCTCATCTCCAAATACAGTCATATTCTGAAGTAGTGGGGGTTAGGGCTTCAACATCTTAATTGTAAAGAGGGGACAGAATTTAGCTCATAATAACCTTTCCCTCACAATTTAAATTTACTGAAGAAGCTGAATTGTTTGTTCTGAAATGAGTGATTCATTCTCTCTGGATTTCTTAGATTGCCTCTCTGTGGTTCACTGTTTTTCTGGTAAATGGTACTTAGATCCTTGATTGAACTTGAGTTTGATTTTCAGGCAGGAAGACTACATCAGGTGGTGGTGTGTACTTCCATCAAGAGGTAAATGGTATCTTCTTGTCTCTCTGTAACGCACAAAACAATCGTCAAGCAGACAATTTGAGGACTCTGAGGTACCTAGAATATTTGGATGACTGCTGCTTGAATGGATGTATTTCAGACACCTGAAGACCCTGAGGTGCCTTCAAACCATGAGTCAATTAGATCCATTATTTAACAACAACAACAATTTTAGAAGGTACTTATTTTGTAGATGTCATTACATTCATGGAAGGGACTGGAGTCTGGAATGGAAGCCTCCATTAACCTGCCATGCAGAGGAACAGACATAAACAGGCTTCTGGGTGGGAGGGAAATGTTCCAAGAGCTGGCTTTGGATCCTGGTCCTGACCTGCCACATACCAGAATGTGATTCTAGCCAAGCGGCCTAAAACTTTGAGTCCACGTTCCTTATTGGTGAAAGGTGTATTACATTTCTCTCTTCAAAATTTGCTTCAGGTGTCACCTCCCCCAGGTGGCCTCCCCTACCCTTCTCCCAGCCTTGCCTGACAGCTCATCCCCGGGGCGTCCCTCTCACCAAATGCTCACCTCCAGCATACACATAGCTTACCTTTTGCTATTTACCTGTGTGTCTGCTCCTCAGACTAGGAGTTCCTTCAGGTTCAAGACTGTTTCCTCAAAACTGTTTTCAGGACAGTTGCTTGTTCGTGGTGCCCAACCAATAATTCAGCGACTAAAAGGGTCGCTCCTGAGTAGTGTTCTAAATCCCAGCTGCAAACTAGAAATCCCAAGAAGCCTTTTAACAATTACTGATATACCTCAGGGCTCAACGCGAGAGCTCTCCAGGTGATTCTAATATATAGCCAGCGTTGAGAACCATTGTTCTAGGGGAGTAGTTCTTAAAGTGTGGTCCTCAGACCAGCGCATGGGCGTCTACATGGGAATTTATTAGAAGTGCAATTCTTGAGTCCCACTCCAGACCTACTGAATCAGAATTCTGGGTCTAGGGCTCAGCTCCACCTGTGTAATAAGTCCTCCAGGTGATTCTGATGCAAGCTAATGTTTGAGAAACCCTTTTCTAGGGAAGTAACCAGCAGGTTTTTTTTTTCCTGTAAAGGGCCAGACAGTAAATATTTATGCTTTGTAAATCACGCAGTCTTTGTGGCAACTTCTTAAGTCTGCTGTTACAGCAAGAAAGTAGCCGTAGATGATATGTAAGTACATGAATTATTTTCTTTTGTTCCAATAAAACTTTCTTTACAAAAAACAGAACCTAGGCCCAGACCTTGGTTTGCCAGTCACTTTTCTAGGACATAGAATTGGTCAGTTGATGCTATGTAACAAGTCACCACATAAGTGGCTTCATATCCACTAATTTGAACACTTATTCTTACTCACAGATCTGTGATTAGCTGATGTAGTCTAGGATTGTCTGAGGGAAGAAGTGGGGAAATACCCCCCACCTTTAGAGATAACTGCAAGTCACATGCAAACGGTGTAAAAAAGGGAAAAATGAAAGATGAAGAACTGAAATCAGTAATTCAATCTACACCAGGGAGTAAGTGAAATAACACATTAAAGGTTCCAGAAGTATCTGGGCATATGACCTGTGCCTTGTAAATGCTGGCTATTGTTATTATTATTATAATTATTAATGACCATTCTTTATTTTGTGTAATTCAAGGCTAGTAATTATATGCAACTGTCCATTCTTTTGGGAAGGCTGTTACAGACATCCTCGGTGATGAGTGTCACTTATCATTAGCACTTGTGACAACAGGTGTACAGAGTTGTCTGTGCTAGCAGCCTGCTGGTTGACAGAACGGTTTGTTCTCAGTGCTGTGGGCTGTTTATTCAGAGGAGGCCCCAGGACAGGCTTGTCATGTCATGATCAGTTGCTGCTGAAAAACAGGCAAATCATTCCTGATAGCTGATGTTCAGTAGGAATGGGGAGCTGAGATCCTGGTTTGAAAGAAATGACTTGTTTGGAGCTCAAGTAACTGGATATCCTTAATTAAGGAGAGTATATTTTTGGTATGTCTTAGGGAAAAGAGGCACATGAAGAGGAAGCAAATTGGCCTTAGAGAGTTATTAGTAACTCTCTAATGTCCTGGGCTCAGTACAATTTTCATCATCCCAGCTCCTTCACTGGAGGTTCTCATGTGCTCTATGTAGACCACTTGCATCCAAATCACCTGGGAATTAGCAATGCATACACACTTCTGGGGCCTAACCCTAGAGATTCTGATTTGGGACTATAACGCAAGATGCTAATTGTAAAAGCTTTCTTGTACTTGTGATGACCCATCCTGAAAGATGACACTGATCTCCCCATTTGTACACTTACATATATTTACACAATTTCACAGAAACCGAAGTTCACACTCAAAGCTGATCAGAACTAGAAAGGTCTGACTTCCAAACCCTCCAAAGGGTGAGGGCCATGTCTTATTCATCCTTGTATCCCTGGCAAGGTGTCCTGAAGGAGTACCGTATTGAATCCAGTGTTTATGAGGCCTTCATTTGATGAGATTGAAGTTGGAACCCAGGATGGCAAAGTGACTCACCCACAGGTGTGCCCCTGATGCAACTTGGGACCCTCTGAGTCCTCTACTATCTCCTGCCTGTTGGAGTCTGGCCCTTCCAAGCTTCTCTTTGGGAGGGGAACGCCTGTATATGAAACCCACTGACATGTTAGATGTTGTGGTAGGTGATTTAAACCTGTGATTTTATCTGATTCTTCAAGAAATAAAATCTGACAAATTGGCATTATGTACTCCACTTTATGAAAGAGAAAATGTGCTGAAAGTCACATGGCCAATGAGTGGTAGAGGTAGAACTTGAACTGAGGTTTGATGTATGTAATGATTGAAATGGAGCATGAGAGGGTGCTCCTGGGAGGGGGGCTGATGATGTTCTGATTTTTGATCTGGATGTTGGCAGCTCAGGAGAGAAAAATAAATTTTTCAGTGCGTAAAAATTTATCACCATGCACTTGGGCTTCCTGCACTCGTCTATGAGTTGCTCTTCAGGGACGAGGTGGGAAAAAAAATCCAGGTGTGTCTGGTTTGCAAACTCATGCTCTCCATTATTTCCT